AGCGAAGTCGTGATCTCAATTTCTAAATTGAGTGACTAATCGATCAACAAGAAATAAAGGAAAGCGATAAAATCCTATAGGGAGCATGCACTGAGAGCGAAGTCGTGATCTCAATTGCTAAATTGAGTGACTCATTGATCAACAAGAAAGGAAGCAGACACAAGCACAACACATAACATAAATAAAGTGTGGAATGCCTGCTATAGGTCTTTAAACAGCGACTTCGAGCGCACGCTCTTTATTTCCTGTTTCTCATGATATCTAGAAAAGCGATAAATGCGGAAATATAACTTGGAAGTAGTATAATATCAAACGAACAATGTCCGCAAAAAGTGCAACCAAGGTAAAGAAATTCGAGATACTTCGTGCGAGCTAACGGAGAAAGTATGTTGCCTCTAATGAAGAAAGTTTGTTGCCTCTTCAAAGTCAAGCCAATATTAAGAAAACTTTACATAATCCTCCTTGAACTCGATGAAGATTGCGCCATTAATTCGCTTCGAAATCCTCTTGAAACTCTTCGACAATCTCTCTTATTTACCAATATCACCTAAGAATTGATCGCCACAATTAATTAATAAATAAAAATGAAAAGTATAGAAAGTGAAACTTCAGGAGGTGCCAATTGAAATCAATGGTATGTTGCAAGTAAAATGCAAGCCCACTCCACAATCAACTTTTTATCTTGAGCTAAGGTAATATATGTGCCCAAAAAAAGATGGTCACGGGCCAATAGATCAAATCAGCCCAGGAAACATTTTGTCACAATGCTAACAACCTTCCAACAAAGCTGCTACGAGCCAGACAAAGGGATATGATCCATACAATTATCACATATCTCATTATAATTACATATAAAAAAAAGAGAATATCAAAACAAAGTATATTAGGGTTATTGTGACCCTAAGAGCATAATTATCGGCTGACAAAGTGCCGTTGCTACACAGTTTTTAATAAATTTGTTTTTAATATTTGGATAATTGAGAAAAAGTAGCGTTCCTACATTCATGCATGTTCTCTTATTTGACCACGCTCTCTAACTGATTTTTTTTGCCAAGTGTAAAAAAGTAATGGTTATATCATTAATGGAAATTGTTACAAGCCATAAATATTAATTTTAATTTCAATTTTTTTTGAAAGTTGAAAGAATGCAACGGTAAGAATTTTCTAACGGTCATAATTTTTAACATAATAAATAGTTCCTCATTTTATTATAATTTTGATTTACCACTAGTTTAATTTTCAACTATTTATTTTATATCATTTTTATTTTTTTCTTCTTGCACATTCATTTGTCAATGGATCCCAATCAACATAACTCTTGGTCTAATTTTATGCAAAATGGTGGTATTCTTCCTTCAATTCCAAATCAACAAAGCAACTCATACATCAGAAATGTACCTCTTATCTCAAATTCACACCATAACCCAAATTTTCAAAACTCTCATTTTATCCCAAATTCACAAAATAATCCACACTTTGGAAATTACTCATATCATACTCCACCTTATCCATATCAATATCAACAACTTACATCTCAACCAACTAACCCCACTATTCCTCATGTGGCTCAAATAGGCAGTAGTGGTGTGCAATCAAATGATCAAGAACATGAAACACAACAATTTTTACAACAAGCATCGTGACACCAATTACAAAGAGAGGAAACCGATGGCACTTAAAGGTCGATGGCACAAAATTAATCCATCTGTTCAAAAGTTTGTTGGATGCTACAAACAAGCTGTGTCTACACAACAAAGTGGGAGCTCCGAGAGCAATATCATGCAAGCTGCATATAAAATTTATTTTCAAGATGAAGGTGAAAAGTTTATATTTGAGGTTGCATGGAGATTATTGAAAGATGAATCTAAATGGCTCGCGGGTTCATCAGAAGCTTCTACAAAAAGAACAAAGAATTCAGCTTCAGGAGCATATTCTTCATCTTCTAATCCACTGACACCAACGAGTAGCGGATACAATCCACCATCGCCTACTTTGTCACGTCGTCCAATCGGTCAAAAGGCAGCCAAAAGGAAAGAGAAGGAAAAGTTTGTGGAAATGTCAACTACTCCCAATGTCAAATATGAGTCTTTGAAAGATGACTTTAAAAAAAAATTGATTTGATGTCAACGTTTGCACGAGACTATGCACGGATTGAGGGTGAAAAAGTTGAGATAGAAAGAAAAAAAGTTGATGCAAAGATTAAGAAGGCTGAGAGTGCGGAGGAAAGATTGAAGATGAATGATCTGCAAATATTCTCCAAAGATACATCAAATATGAATACACGACAACTACAAGCTCATGAAATATTGTGCGACATGATTAGAGAAAAATATGGAATTAATTAGTATGATTATGTATTTTGGGTTTAATTAGTAGGATTATGTATTTTGGACTTAATTAAAATAATTATGTATTTTGGACTTTATTAGTATGATTATGTATTTTAAATTTAATTGGTATGGACTTAATTAGTAAGATTATCTATTTTTAAATTTTGATTATTCAAACTAGCCGTTATTCAAAGTCAAACTAGCCGTTAGAAACTAGTCCTATAAATAGTATTAACATGCACCCTAAGCTTCATAGATTTCTCAACCTTTTTCATTCTATAGAATTTGTTATCATCTTCCACTCAATATCAAACTTCTTTTCACATGGATCCTTCCAATCCTTCCCATATCGCAAAAATGTTCATGGATTATATGAATGATGATATGGATGAAGAACTTGTGAGGTTGGTTATGGAAGAAGAAGCCTCGAGCTCTAAAAGGCCTAGACGTCAAAGAAGGAATATAGAGAGGAATCGTGAAGATGGACATGATCGATTGTTCAATGATTATTTTTCACAAACTCCGATATACACGAATGAGCAGTTTCATCGAAGGTACCGAATGCATAAACATGTGTTCCTTCGTATTGTTGAAGCTCTGGGTCAGCATGATGAGTATTTTCGAATGATGGTTGACGCAACTGGTAGGTCAAGTCTTTCACCATTACAGAAATGCACTGCTGTTATCCGTATGTTGGCATATGGTACATCTGCTGATAGTGTGGATGATTATTTGAGAATTGGTGAAACCACAACACTAAAATGTGTTGATAAGTTTACAAAAGGAGTGATCAACATCTTTGGGCCACAATATTTGCGAAGGCCAAACGCTGAAGACATTGAACGCCTAATGCGAATGGGAGAGGCGCGAGGATTTCCAGGTATGTTAGGGAGCATCGATTGTATGCACTGGGAATGGAAAAATTGTCCGGTTGCATTGAAGGAGCAGTATGTTCGAGGCAATCATGGAAAACCAATTGTTATGCTTGAAGCAGTGGCTTCACAAGACTTGTGGATTTGGCATGCATTCTTTGGGGTAGTGGGTTCAAACAACGATATTAATGTGTTGAACCAATCTAATGTCTTCAACGATGTTCTACAAGGACGGGCTCCCGAGGTTCACTATACAATCAATCGTACTGAATACAACAAGGGTTATTATTTGTCAGATGGTATTTATTCTGAATGGGCCACGTTTGTGAAAAGTATCCCGATGCCACAAGGGGATAAGAGAAAATTGTTTGCCCAACATCAAGAAGCCGCGAGAAAGGATATTGAACGAGCACTTGGAGTTCTTCAATCCCGATTTGCGATCATACGTAACCTAGCACGATCGTGGCACTTAGACACACTCCAACGCATAATGAATACATGCATAATATTACACAACATGATTGTTGAAGATGAACGTTCCACATATGGTGGAAATTTTGATTTTTCTTATGATCATTTGAGCAATGACGCGACAACATTGCCGAATGATTCTAATATTGATTTTCAAGAGTTCCTACGTAGAAGATTTGATGTTCGTGATAAACAAATTCATCGACACCTTCAACATGACTTGATAGAACATATATGGCAACGTTATGGACCAGAGAATAGTAACAATTGAAACATGTTTTAAATATATCGTTTTCTTGTATTTTATTATAGTAATTTATTCTAACGTTTATGTTTTTTAATGTATTTTTTAAGTAATTTATTTTAACGTTTATGTTTTTTAATATATTTTTTAAGTAATATATTTAATTATTTATTTATTTAAATTTTATTTCATTTTAAATGTACAATTCTTTTTAATGTATTTTGATATATTTGAATTAAATTGTTTCAATTATATATTTTTTATAATAATAATAATGTGAAATATATTGTAAGATTTGATGGGATCCATTTTAAAGTTTTTGATGGGTTGTATGGATATTTAAAAAATGTAGTTGGGTTATTTAGAAAATGTGAAAGTGTGATATAATATAAAAAATTAAGTGAGTCTCATTTAAAGAACCTATGAAGAGATGATGGATGTGGATGCTCTAAGGCTTCATAGTGAGACAAAAATCTTAGACGACTCTCTCTTCTTCACGAAACGGCGCCACGACTAAAATCCACTCTCTTTTCTGGAAATCTCCGTCGTTCAACCACAAACATTACACCTTATCTCTGATTCACACTCTCCATCTTCTTCATCTTCGTTAAACCTATGACGTCTACCAATCTCGCAAACATCATAGTCCCAAACTCTCCGTTAATCTGTCGCGCTCACACTTGAGTTCGCCACAGTCGATGCCTTATTCACACTCTCCGACGAACACAATCACAACACCGCCGTGTTTTTCTTTTGATTCCACGTCATTCGCTTCGTTCTAATTTTCCGCGATACTTTCAGTTCTCCGTAGAATCCCTCACTCTCCCAATCAAATCTGCATCATGACAAGATCAACATGCCCCTTCGTTCTGATCTCGAACTTCCAATTCATTTTGGTTTTAACACGAATATGAATCAATGGTGCAAATGATAAAGAAGATGGAAACACCAATATTTACTTGCCGGAGAGCATCCGACACACCTTTAATTCGTAAACTCAGGTATGTTCGTGTTTCACACTCCGATTCTTCCCCCTCTCTTCTTCTGATTCACTGATCAGTTTTCCTCTGCGCTTTTGCGTTTTTACGATCGATGATGACGATACGAACGTGATGCAGATTGATGACGATACACTAGGTTGATGATGTTAATTTGTGTTGTTGTTTCGAATTTTTGATGCAAAGATGGAGGATGCGAGCGTTGTTGACGAAGAAGGTCGTGAATGATGATGATAAAGGAGTAGTGATGTTGTGATGCTGATGAAGAACAATGCCAAAGAAGCGGTGCAGAAGCGGTTATTGTAGAAGAAAGTCGAAGATTGGTGATGCGGTTGAAGAAACTTGAAGGTTGTGAATTCATTTTTGTTGAATTTGTTGCGTTCTTGCAGATTGTTAGAAGATGAATATGACGCGGATTTGCAAGATTTTCACAGTCTTCTTCTTGGCGACTCTTCAATCCAAATGAAGAATTGATGAAGATGATGAAGTAGAGAAAGTTGAGAGGATTTGATGGTGATTCTTCAGTAATTGGAGAATGAGGAAGGTCGATTCTGATTTTAGAGAGAGAGTGATTTTGAAGAATGAAGAGCCCCTTCTCCATAGGGTGAAGAATATTTATATAGATTTGAGAGGATGAGATTTAGTTAGGAGTGGAGGAATCTTAGCCTTTGAATTGAGGAATTTGGTTGCAAAGCGAAGGGTAAGATGAGAGGTTAGTTATATCTGTTTATTCTGTTATGCTCAGTTTGTTTAGAGGGTGAGAAACGATTAGGTTAGTTAGAGGTGGTTAATGGGAGGTTAGAAATTCTGTTAGAGTATTCTGTTATGGAGGTTATAAGTTGTTAGGAGATGGTTACAGGGCTGTTAGGAGATGGTTACGATTCAGTTAGTTCATTTTCTCCTTTTTTTAAAAGCTTTTCTTCTTCATGTCCATTTGACCCAGATAACTCTCTCAATTGATAACTTTGCTTCATTGAGATTTGATACCTCAGTGTCCTTTTCAGTGTTAACCAGAATATCACCCTCATTCTCCTTTTTCTGTGTTGATTTCCACGAGCTGATGTTGGAGATCCTCAATCACTTTCTTCAAAGCAGCCTCCTCTTCTCTTTTTTCAAGAAGGTAAACATTGGCAACTTTGGATATAATTTCTTGAGAATTTTCTCCTTTAGTAATATTTCTGTTATTTTTAGCAGCAGCCTGTTCGAAGTCATTGGTTCTGAAACTTATGTTAGTATTAGGAACTATTATGCTGTTAGAAATTCTGCTTGGTCACTAGATCTTCTTTGAGTTTTCTGGTTTCTGTTAGCTGTTTTGAACATGTTTTTTAATTATCTAGTTTTGGCAGCATGAACTATTCCAAAGTATTTTTATATTTTTGGTAGTGAAACTAATCTGGTTTTGTGCATTTGATTAATTGGCAGGCCATATTGCATTCTTCAAGGTGTTGGAAATTCTCTCTTGATATTCAATAAATCAGCAATAAATTTTTTATGCTCACTTAAATCTTCCACTGCTTTTCTTAGAGCATATTGGTACTCTGTAAGTATTCGTTGCATTTCTTCATTTTGTTGCCTCTCATATTTGACTTGACTCTCGTACTCGGCTGTCACCTTCTTGAGTTGTTCTTTCAAAACTTCAAGCTCCCTTTGCATATTCATTTCAGCTATCTTTGAAACTTTCAACAAATTTTTCAATTGTTCATTAGAAGCTTGTAGATTGTGCTGGACTTTGATCTTACATTCTTCCTCCACTTTTGCTCTCTTATTTGCTCTTTCAAGGGAAATCTCATTTTCACTTTGAGCTGCCTCATATGCTTGACGGACCCTTTTTAACTCTTCTGATTTTCTAATGCAGGGCTATATCATAGTTTGTATAGTTTGATCCAATGGTCCATGGTGCAAAGCTGAAACTTAGCATAATATATCAAGATGCATTGAATTTGGAGGCATGGAGTTTGACACGAAGCTCATAGAATTAAGATATTCATTAACTTGCAACATTTTTATAGTTCTCTTTTAAATGCGACACAGGTGATATGGCTGGTTTTTGGATGTAATTGACTTTGATGTAATATATTCATAAGTTGGATTGAAATTGTCACTTTTATGTAATTTTGAATGGTTGAAAGTGTATATGTTCTTAGTTCTTGATTTTGTAATAGTCATGGTTGAATCAAGAAAAGAGACTTTGAATTAATTCACTTGTCTTTGAATTTATTCTCTTATGCTTACATCTTCTCAAAATGTATCTTGAATGATTCGCGATCCCTTATTTAACCTCAAGTTCAAAATCTTCTTTTTGTATCTCAAACATAATCCAAATTCTAAGCAAAGTCGATTGATGAATCACTTATATTATGAGTACAAGAAAACCAGGAAAATTATCCACAAGCCCTGTAACATCTCTCGCATATATCTTATTCTTCAAGCAAGTTAAATGACTTATCCTTGAATCACATTAAAAACTTCTATTTCATGTTCATCTTAAATCGATCCTTAATGCAACTCAAGCGTTCATGACAAGTCGAAACTCAGTTGACTTCAAATGGCATGCTTGGTCAATGAGCCTTAATCTCAATTAAATCCATAAATTCTAGTCATCTTGCATTTGAAACAACCATCTTTCATTTGATAAAATGAGCTAAATAAGCTCCTGACCCTATCTTGAATCAACCGTTAACAAAGTCATGAACTTAATAAGCCCTTGAATCAATATTAACTCCGAGCACGATTAGAAGTTTCAACGAATCCACGTCACTAGTCATTTCTCTCAATAGCCCAAGTTAACTTGCAACCGAAGTAACAAGTATTTGATGAGAACCAAAAAATGTATCATTCAAAACAAGTCCACACTGTTGAAGAAGGAGAAACTCAAGATAACCACAAGATCGAGCCCTAATCCAATGATCCCCAGTTGAAGCATAACAGAAGAAAACCCTAATTCTTAAGTATTGAAGAAAGATTGCAACCTGATGCTGAGGAGAGATAATATCCCTGTAGTTTGATGATAAAGAAGTCCAGGAAATAAAATCCTAGTTCGAACAAATGATTGATGGAGAAATCAACCGAAACAAGCTTGTGCGAAGATAAGAGCCTTAAAGTCATATAACAATCCTAATTCCTCGAAATCCCTGATCCCAAGCCAAACTATTGACTAATGATGCATGATGCGTCAGATGACCTAATGAAGGTTATGTACCTCAATCTCAATTAAATCCACAGATTCGAGCCATCTTGCATTTGAAGCGACCAACTTCCATTTGATGAAACAAGCTGAATGAGCTCCTAACCCATAGCTTACCCAACGATACATATCTAAACTTGATAAAACTCAAAGCAATCTTTCAGTAAGGGAAGAGTAGCGCTCAATGTAGCCTTGAAGTGAGACTTTAACTCAATGAACCTCCATAGAAAAATCACTACCAAGCTCAAACAAAATGAAGAGAAATCCTGATTCTCTGGCTGAGTTAGGCCTTAATACCTTTGTTCCTTGAAAGAACCTTGATGAAGAAAAATTTGTATCTTGAGAAAACCTGATAGCGAATACATCTATGCTGCTTGAGATCCAAAACCCTAACCTCATACTAAGAAAAATGAGAGTGCCAGTTGAATCAATTTTGAGCAAGACGACAACTTCCATTCAGGGAGAGAAACCCTAATGCCAAAGTGCAGAGATCTTATAACCATGAGACCAATGCTATGTGTGAAATGTACAAAGTATGATGAGGGATCTTAGAGGCAAAAATTGAGATACAACAATATGTTGCAAATTATTTTTTTTGTCTTAAAAATGGCCCATGACATAAAGAGTATGGATTCAAGATAACTTTTGTTTTACCTATCTAGAGGATTTTTGCCTTGAATTCAGGTATTTTCATAAACATTAAAAGATAAACCTGCAGTAAATCCTAAGTTATATGCCTATTTTGTTTATTTAACTTCTTCGTTAAAATATAGTTAAAATTTTAATTATACTGTTGAACATGTTTTAGAAGCCATGCCATTTGTGGATACATAAAAGAAGCACAAAACTTCATCTGAGTGATGCCAAAGAGATTTGAATATGGATTAACTTCCTTCACAATTTAGTACTTCTACACCAAGATAGAATATGCAGAACAAAATGTAGAGCGCAGCCCCAACATGATTTAAGATCTTTATTCATCAAACTATGAATTGCATCTTTGCATAGTGAAGATTTTAGCTGACATAGACATACCTATAGCTGTTACAGATCCATCGAGTATGTGTTTGTGCCTCAGGAGTTCCGGGTAGTAAGTGAAATGCATTCTGAGAACCAAAGCGTGCATGAGAAAGTGCTAATGAAACCCTCTGAACAGACAGATGTAGAAATGCTACGCACATACTGTCACGCCATAGCTGGCTATATTATCTTGAAGGCGGACATCAAATGCAAACTGGAGTGATTTTGTCATCAAGGATTTTGTACTCCCATAATGACCTGAATTGTCACCCCCGGCTTTGTTTCCTGTTGTTCTAACACGTTGTGTTTCCTCGTATTCAATACCTAAAGAAAAGTGCTAACGCATTGTGACAATAGTGTTAGACAGTGATTCAACAGCGCTATGTCAAATTGATAGATAATCATCATCGAGTTCCTTGGGAAGTTCACAGGACAGTGATTCAACGACGCTATGTCAAATTTATAGATAGTCATCATCGACGTGGTAATAATCACGACTATCTGAATTCAAGATCACAACATGCATGTTTCAACAAGAGCTTATAGGATTATGATATTCACCAAATTTGAAGTGCAATGCATACAACAAAAGTGATATCTATATAATATCAAGAACATAGATACAAGTTAGATATCTTTTACAAATCTAGCCCTTCTTACTTTTTTTTTCTATGGATTAGAATCTGATAACTGCTTAGTAACATCTGTCATTTTTGGCCTCTTGTGTGGATCATTCTCAACACATCTCAAAGCCACCATAAGAACTTCGGTAACATTTTCCATTATATTGGTATCTAGACATTCATTTGCAAGGCTTGAATCAACAATTTGACTAATTTCTTTTGTTTCACTCCACAATAATCTAACCCAACTCACTACTGCTTAGGGGGATCATTAATGGTTGTTCAACCCTGGGTTGTGCTGCTACAGCATTAACCTCTCCCTCCTTTCCTTTGGTGAAGTTTGAAGCAGGCCGCTTTGAATTGTAGGGAGCATTTGATGGTCCCCTGATATCTTCCCACTTTTTACATTATTCTTCTTCTTGTTTTTCATAATATTCATCTTTCTTGAATCTTTTGTTCCAACACAATAAACTAACAGATGCTATTCCATTGTGCTTTTCTGGTTGTAGAAATTTACAGTTTTTTGATATCTCATTCAATGATTTTGGTAGTGGCATTCCATATAGCATTGGTATTGTACTGCTTTATCACAATTTGCTGCTGTGAAATCTGACTTGGTTGGAACTATTCCATCTTCCATTGGTCTGCTCACCGAGCTTTCAATTCTTCGCCTTTCCGAGAATCATTTGTCTGGTAAAATACCTTCTGAAATAGGTAACTGTGAGTCTTTGACTGAGTTGCGTTTGTATTCCAATCGGCTTGATAGAAACATTCCAAGTGAATTGGGGAAACTCGGCGAGTCACGCGACCTTGAACTTGAGTGGCGAAATTCCGCTTGAGATATGGAAGATTCGACGTCTCGAGCATCTGTTTGTGTATAATAATAGCCTTTGTGGTGAACTTCCTGTGGAGATGACAGAGCTCAAGAACCTTAAGAACATTTCATTGTTTAACAACATGTTCTCTGGAATTATACCTCAAAGCATGGGAATTAACAGCAGTTTGGTGCAGTTGGACTTTGTAAACAATAGGTTCACTGGCAACCTGCCACCAAATCTTTGTTTTGGAAGAAACTTTGAGTGTTCTGAATATGGGAATCAATCGGCTTCGAGGAAGAATACCTCTGGATGTTGGAAGATGCACAACTCTAAGAAGGGTCCTTCTTAAACAAAACAAATTTACCGGGCCTCTTCCTGATTTTGAAAGGAATGTCAATCTGTTATACATGGAGATCAGCAACAATGAAATCAACGGGTCAATTCCATCTAGTTTAGGAAACTGCACGAATCTCACGGGTTTAATGTTGTCCACGAACAAACTTAGCGGCCGTGTACCACCGGAGTTGGGAAGACTTGTTAATCTTCGGACGCTGGATTTTGGTCATAATAACTTAGAAGGTCCTTTACCTTTTCAGCTCTCAAACTGTACCAAAATGTACTACAGCTTGGCAGAAATATGTTACCAATTATGTTCACAAGCAAAACAAGCCCTACCAATAAAGGATTCATTTGAATGAGTTTTGAAGTGAAAACCGAGCAGATTCAATCAACTGAACAGTTCACAATTGAACGTAATATTTCACGATTTGAATAGGAATTTTGACAACGATCCACTCCCTCCACCTGACTAAAAAAAGGGAAAAATTGGTAAATACATTCTTCACTTTGACATAAATTTTTTCAGAACTTCTCTAAACATGATATGATGGTTGTGTATGTTGAATATACATTATGTTACGGTCTAAATATGATATGATTGCTATATGTTGAATATACAGCATGTTACAAGTTTTAGGAAGAAGGTATGTTAAGCATCGTAGCTTACAAATAGTGGAGAGGCCATATTCTCTCTAATGAGGATCTAGAGAGAATATGTAGCCTTTTTAGTTTTCAAGAAATGAGGTAATTGCCAAGAAAGATGCATAACCATTAACTGATTTTCATTTATGTTGGTGGTTTGTCCAATTTATTTCAAAATGCCTTGAGATGCAACAAGATGAAGAGGGAAAAAATAAGCCTTAAGCTGGAGATGATTCAAGTTACTATAAAACATGGACGGTTGCTTCATAGCTAACGGAAGTAGGTGATTCATGTATAGGCTGAGCTGTGACATTGCATAACAGATGTTATGCTGCTAGTCCGAATGTACACTAGATCTTTGTTATGCACTCGAAGCGGGAACAACAGGAAACAAAGCTGGCGGTGACAGTTCAGGTCATTCTGGGAGCACAAAATCTGTGATGACAATTGCGTTCCAGTTTGCATTTGATATCCACCTTCAAGATAATATAGCAGCTATGGCACGACAGTATGTCACAGAATAACAAATCTGTTAGCTAATTGTTAGCAGTTAGTTAGAAATTAGAATTATTGTTAGAGTTAGTTACATGAGTTAGTTACACAGTTAGGAGTAAGTGGTTGCTATTTAATGTAATTAGCATATTGTAAAAGTAACAGTTTGGAATACAATAAAAATCTATTCAGTTAACTCTTGGTTTTTCTCCTCTCTCAATATGGTATCAGAGCTCTCTTAGAGAGAGCTCTGCTGCAAACTCTGATAATCTCCACGGTGGTTCACTGGAGTTTCGATGGCTGCGAACGTTCCGCCGGTGGCTCCGCCGTATCTGTATTCCTTGCAAGATGTGCAAGTCACTTCTTGTCCGTTGTATGTGCATCCGAACGAGAATCCGGCGACGATTCTTGTTTCTCCGCCACTTTCTGAGAAAAATTACCACAGCTGGTCAAGATCGATGCGAATGAGTTTGTTAACCAAGAACAAACTCGGATTCGTTGATGGAACGCTTCGTGATCCTGGAGAAGATCATGAGATCTATCCGTTTTGGCAACGCTGCAACACAATGGTTCTTGGATGGATGATTCGTTCAATGAATCCGGAGATTGCGCAATCGATCCTGTGGCGAGAAAAAGCAATCGACGTTTGGAAGGAGTTGAAGGAGAGGTTCTCACAGGCAGATCTCTTCCGCATTTCTGAATTACAAGAAGAAATCTACAGTCTCAAGCAAGGAGACATGACGGTAACCAAGTACTTTACAGCTATGAAGATTTTGATTGATGAATTAGAGGTTTTGAAACCATTGCCATCTTGTGTCTGTGATGCACTTGTCAAAATCAAGGCAGAAAGAAATTCGGATCATGTCATTCGATTTCTGCGTGGTTTAGGGGAACAATTCTCCGGTGTGAGGTCGCAAATCATGCTCATGGAGCCTTTGCCAAGCATCAATCGCGTGTTTCAACTCGCAGCACAGCAAGAGAGGCAATTCAATGTTGAGAATGTGCCTAAGGTTCTTATGGCTAATGCTGCTACTGCTCAAGGTGTTCCTGATTCACAAAAGAATAACAGAGGTGATAGCAATTCATCTAATCGCAGCTATGGCAATGGAACCAATTCTAATAAAGGTTCTCAAGGTTCAAATAGCTACAGAAATCAATACAGGAAGGAATGCTCACATTGTGGCAAAATTGGGCATACTGTGGATGTGTGTTACAAAAAGCATGGGTATCCACAGAGTTACAAGTCCAGGAATTCTCAAGGCGCTTCTCGACATGCTAACATGTCCAACGCCACAGAGGCAGAGGAAGATGATTCCAATTCTGTACATGAGGATAGCTCTCGGTTCAGCTTGACTGAAGATCAGTACAATACTCTACTTGCTTTGTTGCCTTCTCAGGATAAGGTTACTGCAAGGACAGCAAAGGTCAATTTTGCTCCAAGTTCAAGGACTCCAACCATTGCACAAACCAATTCCGTGGCTATGCAAACTCGCAATGGTATAATTCGATTAATTCAATGGATTATTGACACAGGTGCAACTGACCATATTTGTGGTAGCTTAGAACTCTTTGTTACATACAAGAGGATTAAGCCAGTGAAGGTTAAATTGCCCAATGGCAGTTTCTTGGTAGCTCATTTTTCTGGCACCATTTCATTTACTAAGTCCTTTTACTTGGTAGATGTATTATATTTGCCTCAATTTAGCTTCAACCTTATCTCTGTTACAAAGCTTGTTGAAACTTTGAATTGTAAGCTCACTATTGTTCCTAAATTGTGCTTAATACAGGATATGAATGCCTTGAGGATGATTGGTGCAGCTAAAGAGGTTGATGGCTTGTATTACCTGGTTACACCCACAATGAATGCATCCTGTTTAAAGCCAGTTAGACCTGTACCTGCAGTTTCAGCTACTTGTTCTTCCTTGAATTCCCCTTCTAGTTTGTGGCATCATAGGCTTGGCCACCCTTCTTTTGATTGTATTTCCATCTTAGGTAATACTTTTCCCTTTATCAATTGTACAAGAAACCATGTATGTGAGGTTTGCCATTTGGCCAAACAAAGGAAATTGTCCTTTTCTCACAGTAATAGTACATCTAATAAAGCCTTTGATTTGATTCACATTGATATTTGGGGTCCCTCTGCTGTTGCTTCTATGCACGGTCATAGATTTTTTCTTACTATTGTTGATGATTACACCAGATTTACATGGTTATTTTTGATGAAACAAAAGTCTGAAGTTCAGCATCTTATTCCACAGTTTTGTGCTATGATTAAAACTCAATTTGATGTTTCCATTAGAGTCATTAGATCTGATAATGGTCCTGAGTTTTTCCTTACCCAATTTTATGCTTCTAATGGCATCATTCATCAACGAGTGTGTGTAGAAACCCCTCAACAAAATTCTGTTGTTGAGAGGAAGCATCAACACCTTTTAAATGTCACTCGTTCCTTGTTATTCCAGTCTCATTTGCCTAAGGTTTTTTGGTCACATGCTGTATCCCATGCCACATTTCTTATCAATAGACTTCCATCTTCTGTTTTGGGCAATAAAACTCCTTTTGAGAAGCTTTATTCTAAACCTCCTGACTTTGGTTTTCTTAAAGTCTTTGGGTGTCTTGGTTTTGCTTCTACCTTGCTTCGGGCTCGCACAAAATTGGATCCTAGAGCTCGAAAATGTGTGTTTCTTGGTTACAAACATGGCACTAAAGGTTTTTTGTTATTTGATTTGAAATCAAGAGAAGTCTTACTTTCAAGAAATGTCATATTCTATGAGCAGCAATTTCCTTTTCAGACCTTATCCCATAACCTTGATCATACACCACCTGATGTCACAATTCCTTTGCCTACTTCTCATGATATTGAAGCCATTGATTACACTTTACCTGATTCTGCTCCTTTGTTTCTCCCACCTGTTGATCCTGTGCCTACAAATCCTCTTCCAAGGCAGTCTCTTCGTACAAGGAGATTGCCATCACACTTGCAGGATTTTCAAGTCACATTGCCTCCTAGCCTGGCAGCCCAATCTTCCTCAAATGATCATTCATCAGGTATAAGGCATCCTATCTCCTCTGTTGTGTCTTATGACAAATTGTCTCCTACACATTTTGCCTTTGTTGCTAATGTATCCAATTTAGTGGAACCAAAGACTTATTCTCAGGCTTGCAAGGATCCTCAGTGGCAAGAGGCAATGATCAAGGAGTTGGATGCTCTCAACAAGAATCACACATGGCAGATTGTGCCTCTTCCTTCATCCAAAAAGCCCATCGGTTGCAAGTGGGTTTTTCGCATCAAACACAAACAAGATGGTTCTGTTGAGCGTTATAAAGCTCGCTTGGTGGCTAAGGGATATACCCAAATTGAAGGCCTGGATTATTTGGAGACCTTCTCTCCAGTTGCAAAGATGAATACCCTTAGGCTTTTATTGGCCATTACTGCTTCCCAAGGATGGTTTCTTCATCAACTTGATGTTGATAACGCCTTCCTCCATGGCTCCCTTGATGAGGACATTTATATGAAGCTTCCTCCTGGGGTTCAATCTGATGTTCCTAATCCAGTTTGCAAGCTTCAGAAGTCTCTTTATGGCCTCAAACAGGCCAGTCGACAATGGTATCAAACATTGGTAGCTGCTCTGCAATCTATTGGATTTCATCAATGTTCTCATGATCATACTTTGCTTCTTAAGCAACAGGGTGATTCTATTACTTGCTTACTTTTATATGTTGATGATGTTGTTCTGGCTGGGAACTCTATGGAAGAAATCCAAGCTGTCAAGAGTTTTCTCCATGCCAAATTCAGTATCAAGGATCTTGGTGATTTAAAGTTTTTCCTTGGCTTAGAAGTGGCAAGATCTTCTCTTGGAATCACTCTTTCTCAACGCAAATATGCATTGGAGCTTCTGATTGATGCTGGCCTTCTTGCTTGTAAGAGTGTGAAAACTCCTATGGATTCTAATGCTCACCTCTCATTAACAGAAGGCAAGCCTCTTCCTAATGTTAGCAGTTATAGACGATTGGTTGGCAGGTTATTATACCTCACCACTACGCGTCCTGACATAGGCTTTGCAGTTCAGCAATTAAGCCAATTTTTAGCAGCCCCGACAGAGGTTCACATGACTGCAGCTACACGTGTTCTTCGTTACATCAAGGCTGCTCCAGGACAGGGATTGTTCTATTCTGCCAGGTCTTCTTTAAAGTTGCAAGCTTATAGTGATTCCGAC